TGGACCATAATAAAGATTGATGATGATAAATTATTTACAAAAAAATAAACAAGGTGGGTGGGAAAAGATGTACACACAAAGGCAGACCATGTCGTGCATTGTGTCATAGACCTGAGGGGAGTGTTGAAACATACACCCACCCCACAGATATGAAGAACCTTTTCTGGGGTATGAACCAGGTCATAGTGAATTAACTTTGAAAATAATATTTGGGGTAGAGCTTTGAATCCATTTCTAACATGCCTAGAAGCGTGTTGTTGTTGTTTTGAATCATGGGGTGAAGAAATAGTTGCGTAGCTGTAACAAAACAGAGCAGTGCCCTAGCAATACTCTGAAGTTTGACTGGGCTTTACCAGTCCCTGTGTTTGAACCAAACAAGAACACACCTCATACAACTGGTGTCTGCATAATATATGCCCATACCCAAACCACTGGTGAGCAAGCGGAGAAAATAAGAATGGGGAGAAGGGGAAACCCAGCATAAAGGATGATAATTTCAGCATTCAAAGCACAAGAGAATTGCCTTGGCTGTGATAACCAAAGAAAAGTGAAGAAACAGAATCTCAAAGCAATGTACTATATAGCCAGAGGTGTCAGCAGTAATATCATTTGACTCAAGCTTGACAATTTTAGTGAAGTGGCCAGTTTTCTCTCTAAACTTCCACCTTCCTACATTTTTTCCGATGCACTGCTTATTCTGTTTTATTACATCGACCGCCAGTGCGTCTGTATGTGTCTCCTTCTCTTTAGTTACTTTTATGGTTATGATCGGAGTGTAATGCATTTTTTCCTCAATGTTCTCCACGTAATGATCCCTGTCTCCCACTGAGTCCCACAGTGTAAATGAGATGTGACAATGCTGCAGTGCGGTAGTGTTTAAATTGAAACGTCGTAAGGAAAAGCCACACGCTCCAGGCCATTGATGTTACAATGCAGTGGCTCAGAGAGTTATGTGAACGACTTACATTGTTTACTACTCAGAGATAAAGCTAATCTTCAAGTGAGTGAAAAAGTAGGAGTGAGTGACTGGCTTTAAAAAGAAAATTAACCACAATAGGAAGGAAATTTCAGGTTTTACACACTGGAAGGCAATCAGTGTGTTTGTGTGCGTGCACGCACATACACACAAACACACACAGGGAGAAAATGATCTTATAAGAGTAGTGACTCATTACATAGTTTGGGAAAGCAAAAGATTATCTGCAGAACTTGCTATTCTTAAAGAAAAAATATCTGTCTCTCCATCTGTCCATCTGTCTATCACAGGGGTAGGCAACCTAAGGCCCGGGGCTGGATCCGGCCCAATTGCCTTCTCAATCCGGCCCACGGACGGTCCAGGAATCAGCGTGTTTTTACATGAGTAGAATGTATCCTTTTATTTAAAATGCATCTCTGGGTTATTTGTGGAGCCTGCCTGGTGTTTTTATATGAGTACAATGTGTGCTTTTATTTAAAATGCATCTCTGGGTTATTTGTGGGGCATAGGAATGTGTTCTTCTTCTTTTTTCAAAATATAGTCCGGCCCACCACATGGTCTGAGGGACGGTGGACCAGCCCATGGCTGAAAAAGGTTGCTGACCTCTGGTCTATCATCTATCTATCATCTATCATCTATCTATCTATCTATCATCTATCTATCTATCTATCTATCTATCTATCATCTATCAACTATCATCTATCTATATCTATCTATCATCTATCATCTATCATCTATCTATCTATCATCTATCTATCTATCATCTATCTATCTATCATCTATCTATCTATCTATCTATCATCTATCAACTATCATCTATCTATATCTATCTATCATCTATCATCTATCATCTATCTATCTATCATCTATCTATCTATCATCTATCTATCTATCATCTATCTATCTATCTATCTATCTATCATCTATCTATCTATATCTATCTATCATCTATCTATCTATCTATCTATCATCTATCATCTATCATCTATCTATGTATCTATCATCTATCTATCTATCTATCTATCTATCTATCTATCATCTATCTATCTATCTATCATCTATCTCTATCTATCATCTATCATCTATCTCTATCTCTATCTCTATCTCTATCTCTATCTCTATCTCTATCTCTATCATCTCTATCTCTATCTCTATCTCTATCTCTATCTCTATCTCTATCTCTATCTCTATCTCTATCTCTATCATCTATCTATTTATCATCTATCAGCCTCTCTATATATCACTCCATCTAATAAAGAATTCAGGTATTGATGCCATGATTGTTGTCAGAATGGCACCACTGGAAATAAGATGAAAGTATCAGTATTAACACCAAGATTTGCAAAAAGTGTGTTAAAAAAAACAATCATCACTGTAATGGACACACCTTCCAAAATAAGCAATAATGATTCTAGTCCACTGCAACTAAGCAGTGTAGAGGAGACATGGAATATAGAGCGACAGTAGGCGGGAAAAGAAAAAAATAAAGGGGGAATTGTAATGGAGTGGCCTTCTTAGAAGGATAGCTGGCAGGAACCCTGAATTGAATTACTCAGTGCTTTTTTCTGGGGGTATGCATGGGTACGCATACCCCTAAACATTTTGTGAATCTAAGTTTGGCCTCACTGAGGGGCAGTATTTCAACATGAGTAGGAAAATGAGAGTACAGTGGTACTTCGGGTTAAGAACTTAATTCATTCTGGAGGTCTGTTCTTAACCTGAAACTGTTCTTAACCTGAGGAACCACTTTAGCTAATGGGGCTTCCTGCTGCCGCCGCGCCGCCACCGCAAAATTTCTGTTCTCATCCTGAAGCAAAGTTCCTAACCCAGGGTACTATTTCTGGGTTAGCGGAGTCTGTAACCTGAAGCGTCTGTAACCTGAAGCGTCTGTAACCCGAGGTACCACTGTACCCCTAAACATTTTTTTAAGAAAAAAAAGCACTAGAATTACTCATTTTAGGAAAGAGGATGGGCTGGAACATTTTTCCGCAGGTCCCACTTATCATTACATTTTAGCAACAAGCTTGCCATTTTGAGTGTCTCAGGCAGAGGGAAGGCCCACCCCAGCAGTTGTTTTTTACCACTGACACATCACAGATTGTAAACGATTTACTTAATAAATCACTGGGAGAATGAAGATCCAAGTTGCCCACTATTCGCATTGTCCCATAAGGAAACTGCAATTTGAAATACATATGTTATCCACACTACAGGCCAAGACTATTTCATTTATTCATTAAATTGCGTGGGTAGATTGAGGGGGGAGGGTTGTGTTTTATTCCCTGTCTCTATCTCTAATGTACTTTTTATTTGAGGGGCTATTTTAATGCAGGATTTGTGTGTGTGTGTGTGTGTGTGTTCGTCCATCCTTTGAAATTCACAATTGTCCAATTTTTGCAATACAATATTCACAAGAAGGCACGCCTTGGGAGAAAGTGTCCATTGAAAATGAACGTGCTTGTGAAAATATTCACAAATTGTTGCAGAAATGTGGAGATTGGAAAGATTTAAGATAGGAAAAATGAAAATAAACTGAGAGAACTGGAGCCAACAAATTCTTCCATCCATAGTGTAGGCAATACTAACCTGGATGAACCATAAGTATAAAGGAGCTCATTTAGTTAGTCGGTTGCAAAATATTTCTATTCCGCCATTTCTATGTATCAGGCAGTGCCAGATTTAGGTATGATGAGGCCCTAAGCTACTGGAGGTAATGGGGCCCTTTATATGTCCAGCTGTCCTTCGTCAACAACAAATGGTCACTGTTTTTGTGTTGAATGTATGCTATATGGTAATTTATGGACCTAATAGGTCCATACACAACACAAAACACTTGCTGTATGTAGGCTTTATTTTATTTGTTTTTTATCTTATATTTTGGAAATGTACATCCAGTTTTTTTCCTTTACATTTTTTTGAGGGCCCCCAAGAGAGTGGGGCCCTAAGCTAGAGCTTGTTTAGCCTACTGTATATGTAAATCCAGCACTGTTGTCAGGGGCAGTGAGCAACTGTGAAACATGGTTCAAAACAGTACAGAACAATCATTAAGATGTCCAGGCAGCTTCCTGTGTTTTTGTGGGAACAGGGCATCCTATGACCAAAGGTAAAGGCAAAGGGACCCCTGACCGTTAGGTCGAGTTGTGGACAACTCTGGGGCTGCGGTGCTCATCTCGCTTTACTGGCCGAGGGAGCTGGCATACAGCTTCTGGGTCATGTGGCCAACATGACTAAGCTGCTTCTGGTGAACCAGAGCAGCACCGACCTTCTGATTGGCAACCCCTAGGCTCTGTGGTTTAGAGCACAGCGCCACCCGTGTCCCTATCCTATGACTAGCTTCCAATATATCCCCTAAAAAGCTACTTCAGAAGGTTGGGGAGATGGCCTGGAATTGTATATAATGTGGTGGCCGTGGGAGCTGCGGTCAGAGAAAATGAAAACGGGAGCCCACCCACCTCATGAGCAAGTGTTCTTATAAGGTAAAGGGTAAAGGGGATCCCTGACCATTAGGTCTAGTCATGGCCGACTCTGGGATTGTGGCGCTCATCTTGCTTTACTGGCCGAGGGAGCCGACGTCTAGCTTCCGGGTCATGTGGCCAGCATGACTAAGCAGCTTCTGGCGAACCAGAGCAGCACACGGAAATGCCGTTTACCTTCCCGCTGGAGCGGTACCTATTTATCTACTTGCACTTTGACGTGCTTTCGAACTGCTAGGTGGCAGGAGCAGGGACCGAACAACGGGCGCTCACCCTGTCACGGGGATTTGAACCGCCGACCTTCTGATCAGCAAGTCCTAGGCTTTGTGGTTTAACCCACAGCACCACCCACGTCCCTAGGTGTTCATATAAGTGCATACATATCCATTCCAGATTTTCTGCACCATTGCGGATTTTGCCTTCCTCTTCATACGGTTCTGTATGGTTTTGTGTGGGTTATTTTTGCTTCGACACAAACAGTTATAATCACTGCATTAATAAATAAATAAAAACCCTGTTGTGCCGGCGAAAGTTTTCTATTAAAAGTTAACATGTTTAAAAAGAACGAATCTCCGTTGCGCCAGGCCATCAGTCATTTTGCTCCTTTTATCCTGCAAACCCTTGTGGGATTGGCTCTGGTGGTAGTTCATAATGATGCCCTTCATAGGAGAACAGCTGCCGGTGCTCACCTGTTTTCTCGCCCAACCAGCGACTGGGAGAAATTCTTCAATTTAGCAAACAAACTTAAGCCGTTATTAGAAATGACAGGGGAACCTGATGAAATTGTACTTTCAATTGGAAAACAAAATTGCAATCAGGCCGACATGATTTCCTCGTGGCCGGACCACGCTAATGCCGAGCGGCGAAACACGGGCAAATGTATTTAAAAGTCATAATGGAGTATTACCCATGCAGCCTTCTCCTTTTACTGGCCCTTATTAATATAAAAAAACTTCAATTTGCATGTAAATGTGGTCAACTTTCATATCATCAAAATACATGAGGCCCGGGAAAGTAATGAATTGAAGTTTGATGCAGCAATTACTGACGTTTATAAAGAATTTTAAAGAGGTCATTCTAGCCTGGGCTGAGAAAATGAGGAAATCAACAGGGAATAGCGTCGATATAGCAACAGTGGGGGTGGAAGTCAGTCCCAGGTGTTGCAAGGCCAGAGGATGATTAATAGAGAGGGAGTAAGAAGGCACTCACCCAGAAGAACTGGGCTGGACCTGAGGCTCAATAACAGAGCTTTCATGAAAAGGTTCTTGCTGGGTTCCCTCTCAAAATGCCTCGGAAATGTGATCCGGGGGGAATAAAAGGAGCAAGTGTTTATGAGCGAGAGCTGCGCTGAAGGTTTAATTGGGCTCCACATCCTTTCAGCTCCCTTCAGTACTTGATATGCTGTTTAACCTTTCTCCCCCTCCCCAATCCTCTCTCTCCGCTGCAGCCCCCACCCCAACCTTCAGTACCCGAGCGCGGCTGGGATTTTAATAAGGCACAGTGTCCTGATGGCAGCTTGTTGGCAAAACATTGACTTGGTTGCTAAATTGAGTTAAGCCGCTGCATCGCGGCGCCGTAATGGTAATTTGTAACTACTATCCGCCCTCTTCCATGCCACGCACACACGAAACCAGTCACAGGGCTTATATCTATATAATACTCGTACAGTTCAGCATCAGACGCCCGCAAAACTAGGTGGTCACTTGGTGATGCAAAGTCTCCATCGCCTCCTCATTCCAGCCAATTTTCTCTAGATAGATAGGCAAGATATAGATTGACAGATATATAGATATGTGGTCATAGCAACTGTTGAGCTTTAGAATGTTCAAAGTGCTTCACATAAACGTTCTTGCAAATCTGTGCAACAATTCTGTAAGGTAGGCCATCGTTACTAACTCCATATTATGGGCAAAGAGGGGCACTGAGTTCAGGAGATACTCAAATCCTGAGTTCATGACAGAATCAAGATTTAAACAAGAGATTATCCAATTGAGAAAGTCAGCATGTGGCATCCTTGAGCACTTTATAGAGATCATTTAAATTTTCTGCCAAAGTGTTGCTCCAGATGGGGGTGTAGCAGAAATTTCCAAAGCAATACATGGACTAAAACACAACCATCTCTCAAAATCCATACTTCTCTAAATTTTGCAGCTCTCCAGTCGAATCTTATGTCTCAAGTGTGCACAACATGTGGAAAGTGCATAAATGCACTCATGAACATACAAAACGAGGGGAACTGCTTGCAAAAATATGTATATTTGTCAAAATTGCATACAGGAATGCAAATATTGGGGATTAAATTGCTAGCAAATCTTCATAATAATTTATTTTATAAAAAAAATAAGTAAAATGATAAATAAATCTGGAGAACTGAACTTTAGCTTCAAAAAAAAAAGAGAAATTAAGAGAAACCAAAACCAACTTCGGGAAGAAGGTGTGAGGGCACTGACAGGGTGCTAGAGTCCCCCGCCCCCCAAAGTTGGCCAAGCACTTGCCAGGGTTTGGGAAGGAAGTTGGAGGGCTCTAGGACCCTGCCAGAGCCCTCACAATTTCCTCCCAAAGCCCAGCACCTCTTATCTGGCTTTGGAAAGAGGGTGTCAAACTTTGGCCTCAAACAAGAGTAAAAAATAAAGATCAGTAGGTAAAGCATAAGTCTGGTACTGAATAACATCTGCCATTTAAACTTATATTGAGTGTGCATGCTTTTGCTTGGTTGCAAGATCTGGGGAGTGGGGGACAGCATGGAGAAAGAGAAAGAGAAAGAAATGCAGAAACAAGTGTTAGTGCATTTTCCAGGACATGAAAGAATGTCTGCACATGCATGAACCCAAAAGGCAGCTGGCTTTGAGCAGCTGGTCTGATAAGGGCTGTCTGCACATGTGCAGAACCTCATTCTGTGCTGGAGAACATCTGCAGAAATGACCGCTCCTCACATCCAATGGGCGGTGCCTTTTGCGTGGTCGCACGCAGCCCCCCCCCCCCCGATCCCACTAGTTTGGGCTGGCTTCATCCTCCCCAGGCTGGATACCAGGAGGTCTCCGCCTACCTCAGCCAATCCCACCTGGGGAGGCGTTGCCAGGGGATCGGCCAGGTAAGGGGAGGGACCACCCTGCCCACACAACAGAAGGTGAATTTTACCTGAGAAGCGTCAATTGGATCAAGAGCTTCTTCCACCCTACCCTCCCTCAGTTAAGTCTTCTTTTGCAGGTTAATTTATTTTCCACAGGTATGCAGGTGCTGCTATGAAAGGGTCACTGTTGAAGGGCCGGAAAGGAATTTTCCTGCATTGGCAGGTTTTGCCTTCCCCATAGCAAAACGTCACAACTTTGGCAGTTTCAGGCTTTGGGCGGAATCTTTTCGTCTATCTTCCTAAAGGGGGTGATCCATGCCCCCCTTGTGGCAGTGATCTCAGGGTTCCCCATTAAAGGGGTCTTGAGGCGAGGCATTGGCCATACCCCAAGAGGTTGTCATTGCTTTCCCCACCAACAGCGGCAAAATGGGGGGCAGGGTTAGGGTTCAACATATCTTCTCCAGAGCCAGCCCAATCCCCACACATTCTGGATAACCCTGATGTCTCCCAGATCCCCAGCTGGGGACTAGGAAGGATAAATGCCCAATGCCTGTACCAAGGTCTTCCTACATCTGAAATTTAATAAAGTTGTGGCCAATTTTAATCCCATAGCATGTTATCTTGAGTCATTATTCTGCTCAGGGTTCGCCTGGGGTTGGGGGGACTCCACTTGTCTATGCAAATGGTACTTGCTTCATAGCACGACCAAGCCTTACAAGGTGGGCAAATTCACATGAATACTCCCTTAGAATGTCCTTCTTGACTCCTATTCAAAATATGCTGAACAACATTAAAGCTGTATCATTTCCCAATCCATGACTCATTTTCCAGGGGCAAATACCTGACTTCCAAGCCCAGGGAATGACTTAATTCCGATATGAGATTGTTAACATCTTAAAATAATAAGTAACAAGGATCTGTTTCAAAGATTCGTTTTCCTTTTTTCATTAAGAGCACAAACCTTAAAGAGCTAGATTCCTTAAAACTGCTCATTCTACTCAATGATCACTGAGGTCAAGCAATGTGAAAGATCAAAATTGGAGTAAATAACGGAACAGAAATCAATTCATCTGAAGAGCTAGCTAGATTAATTTGGAAGATGATTGGGTATCCTTAATTCTTTCTGCTCCTGTTTCTTGCTTTGTTGCTGCTGGTTTCTGAAACTAATTTTCTATTACTCCATTTCAAGTAAGTCTCTAGCTTAGTTAAATATTTTCAGTTACCTTAATTAAAACAAACGGATAAGCAATTGCACAGATAATTCAGCAAATTAAATCAGAAGCACGTAGAACAGTTTGGCTCAGTGGTGGCAAGTGAACAACTAGTTAGCATTCGAAAATGTTAACAGAATGTTGTTGTTGTCAGATTCCTTTATCATGGGTGTGTTTTTATGATTCAGAAAATTGTGTACCCCCTCACAGCAAGATCACGGGCAAATTGAAAGCTGAGCATCTCTGCATCTTTTGTTTCATTTCTAGCCCTACAGTTTATTTCTTCCCCTCAAGGGATGGCAAGCTAAATCAATGCTTATATTTCTCCATCCTGTGAGACCCAGTCTAAGCATTTGCAACTTTCACTAATCGGAATGGTAAGTGATAAAAGGGCAGCTTTTCTTATGAGAGAAAAGTCTGAGTAGGGTAAGTGAAGGTTCTTTATGTGATTCTGATATTTAGCTGCAGGAGGAATTTTTCCCATGTCCGAATAATTTTTTCCTATGTCTGAAGAACAAATCATAATTTTCACAAATCCATAAAGAAGCACCCATCAAAATAAGAAGTGGAAATAAAGGGGATTCCACATCATTTTTCCTGGTATGATGCTGAAATTTTATTCATTTTTATTTCTTTAACAAGAAGAGTTTGGATTTGATATCCCGCCTTTCACTCCCTTTAAGGAGTCTCAAAGCGGCTAACATTCTCCTTTCCCTTCCTCCCCCACAACAAACACTCTGTGAGGTGAGTGGGGCTGAGAGACTTCATAGAAGTGTGACTGGCCCAAGGTCACCCAGCAGCTGCATGTGGAGGAGCGGAGACGCGAACCCGGTTCCCCAGATTACGAGACTACCGCTCTTAACCACTACACCACACTGGCTAACAAAATTTATATACCGCTTGATTGAAAAGAAAAATGCCTCTAAGTGGTTGACAAAAAAAATGCAGCAATCCTGTACACGTAAATAGTGCAAGCCTATAAATGGGGCAATCCTGAATAGGTCTACTCCTTGAGTTAAAGGTAAATGGACCTCTGACCATTAGGTCCAGTCGTGGCCGACTCTGGGGTTGCGGCACTCATCTCACTTTATTGGCTGAGGGAGCTGGAGTACAGCTTCCGGGTCATGTGGCCAGCATGACTAAGCCGCTTCTGGCGAACCAGAGCAGTGCATGGAAACGCCATTTACCTTCCCGCTGGAGTGGTACCTATTTATCTACTTGCACTTTGACATGCTTTCAAACTGCTAGGTTGGCAGGAGCAGGGACCGAGCAACGGGAGCTCACCCCATCGCGGGGATTCGAACTGCTGACCTTCTGATCGGCATGTCCTAGGCTCTGTGGTTTAACCCACAGTGCCACCCGCGTCCCTCCTTGAGTTAAAGGTATACTATTATAATTATTTTATATTTATTGGGTCATATCCAACTGGTGTCCCTCCATTGACAGAAGACTGACCCAGCAGATACTTCATAAACAGAAAGGAGATTGAGACAATCTTCCACAATTCCTCCTTCCCCTGTAAGCCCCTGCTTCCCCAATCTCCTTTGGAACTGTGTGATAAGTACTGGGAAGGGGGCTGCGAGGAGGAGGCATCATCAAACATCAC